CTGATTATCATTACTATTATCTTTCTTCTTTTCTGATTATCATTATCTAATTATCTTTCTTTCTTCTTCTTCTGATTAATAAATTACTATTATCTTTTTCTCTTCTTCTGATTATCATTACTATTTATCTTTCTTCTTCTTCTTCTTCTGATTAATCATTACTATTATCCATTTCTTCTTCTTATGATTATCATTACTATTATCTTTCTTCTTCTGATTATAATTACTATTATCTTATTCTTCTTTCTTCTGATTATCATTACTAATTATCTTTCTTCTTCTGATTATAATTTACTATTAATCTTTCTTCTTCTTCTGATTATCATTACTTATTTATCTTTCTTCTTCTTCTGATTTATCAGTTTACTATTATCTTCTTCTTCTTCTTCTGATTAATCATTACTATTATCTTTCTTCTTCTTCTGATTATCATTACTATTATCTTTTTTCTTCTGATTATCAATTACTATTATCTTTCTTCTTCTTCTGATTATCATTAACTATTATTTTCTTCTTCTTCTGATTATCATTACTATTATCTTTCTTCTTTTCTTCTAATCTGATTATTCTGATTATCATTACTATTAAATCTTTTTCTTCTTCTTCTGATTATAATTACTATTACTTCTTCTTCTTCTGAATTATCATTACTATTATCTTTCTTACTTGCTTCTTCTGATTATCATTACTATTATGCTTTCTTCTTCTTCTTACTATTATCAATTATAATTACTAATTATGCTTTCTTCTTTTTCCTGATTATCAATTAACTATTATCTTTCTCTTCTTCCTGATTATCATTACTAATTATCTTTCTTCTTCTATTATCTGATTATCATTACTATTATCTTTCTTCTCTGATTATAATTACTATTATCTTTCATTCTTCTTCTGATTATCCCTTACTATTATCTTTCTTCTTCTTCTTGCTGAATTTATCATTTACTATATCTTTCTTCTCTTCTGATTATCATATTTATCTTTCCTTTCTTCTTTCTGATTATCTTATCTAATTATCTTTCTTCCTTCTTCTGATTATCATTACATATATCATTTCTTTCTTTTTCTTCCTGATTATCATTACTATATCTTTCTTCTTCTTCTTCTTGATTATCATTACTATTATCTTT